CACCGCTCGCCGCCCGACCAGAACCAGACCCGAGCGTACGGCGCGTAGCGTTCCGCGCGCGCCTCGAAGAGCCAATAGACCACCACAGATGGGCCCGATAGAGCTGATGTTCAGCCGGGGTTGCGCGGTAAGCGCAATGAGGCACCGCGACATCGGCCCAGTGCAGGATAAGGAACGGGGGTTTTTAGTCAGTAAGAGTCTGACACTCCCACCCTCCCTCCTCCCTCGAGAATTCATTTGATGATTTTCCCGGCACAAAAAAAAGTAATCCATTTATGTTTTTTGGGCGGCAAAACGTGGAGGAATCATGAGAATGATGGTAAGCAAGCGGCACAGCCATTGATACCTATAACATTCAACCAGTTATCAAAGCATTGTCAGCATTTTGGTTAGACTTCGTTTTCTATGTTGAAAGGAACGAACATTTTTCTCACAGAATATAACCCAGTGTGCCAAAAATGCTAGCATGTAATCATCGTTATTGTAAGGTGTGGCAACTAGCAGTTAACGGCATGAACACTGCTCTACTTGCGCGAAGTTTGTCGGGCAGTTAAGATAAAATGTAGCACCGCTTAACTAGGCAATAACTTTAGATTGTGCTCATTACGTGTACACGTTTTTTTTTGCGTAAAATATAGGTTTGATTTATTTTGTAATGAATGCTGTTTTTCCTTGTTTTCTTTTTTTATATTCATGGCTTCATAATTGCATTTGCTCCTATATCGTGGATGCGTTTATAAATATAGTGTTACACGTAACTTAACATCACACTTCTTTTGTAGATTCGTTTGTAGATCACACAAAGCGTCGATCTTTGTGAAAATCGAAAACTTGCCTCAAATTACGGCAGCCAATTGGCCAGAAACCACATCAACTATGTCAATAATTTCCAAACAGTCAAAAAGAGAAAAAAGGTCTATACGTTTATGAAAAAAACAGACGATCATCGATGACCGAACTACGTATAGGGAAATTGTAAGTGTCAAAAAATCCAAGACATAAACACTAAATTTAGTTATGTAAATAAATTACACTATGTAAATGATACATTTTTTATTATCTATACATACCATGTTGATGTGAAATATATATACATACATATTATTATGTATGAACATAAATATAGACTTTCTTATCTGACTACTCTGAAAAGAAATACCGGAACAAACTCAGAGGTCAAAAGTGTTCTTTAACCTGCACAGCGCCCGGGTATGCTGACGTTAGCAGGTTTATTTAGATAACGTCCGTCAACGTAGCACCTGGACGCTATCGGGGTAAATGTAACTACGTGACGATGAGGGTAGAAAAATGTAACATGGATGAAAATACAAAAAAATATCGATGGAATATTGCTTTGTTTATTTGACACTAATGTTACAAATTAAAAAAAAGAATGATGTGGACCTGGCCCCTCGGTTTCGATTCCCGAGTCGGGTAAAGAAATAGAAGACAATAGATATTGGGAAAACTGGGTCCAGAATTTTCCTAATTTATGGCGATGGGCTTACATTAATTTGCATATTGCATGGGACTCATGGTGAAAGTGGTAGATATTAAATAATAAAAGTACGAAAATAGTGAACTTCATTGCCCATGGATTTTTATTGGAGTGACATAAGGTACCCATAGAGTTTATTAAATTCGTCTAATTTCTTTATTTTCCCTTACCCCCAAAAATATTTTCTACGAGTACCTAGTAGCTCCTCTAGTGTTGCCATGTACATGAAAGCTCGTTTGCCGCTCTATCGCATAAAAAATGGCTGCAATTTGAATGTGGCCACACACAAGCTCCAAATTCAAATGTAGTTTATTGAACGGAACACAGCAAAAAGGCACGCAGGAGTAACGTTTTATTTCGCTTTGTTACATGTTTTGACTATGGAAAGCCGTATGTTAAAAACCAATAGTTGTTGACAAAACGGGTTGTGTACAGTGCAGGGAATAAAATTAGCAAATTGGCGGGAAATTTGCATTTTCATCCAAAACACTGAATGTTTCGATGTTTCATTGATTGCTCCTTTGTTTTTCTGTGATTGTAGATTCATTTTTATTTCTATTTCAATTTAGGTAAAATATGTTTTTTTTCTGTATATTTATAACGTTTGTTTACAAAATTGATTATTTTATCGTATTTTTTGTGTCGTATATCACAATGAGCGCCACCTATGGACGAAAGTTATTACATTGTATTTTTAGTGTAAACGAGGTAATTTTTGACTGTATGGTTAGTGCAGTTGTTAGGTACAAAAGTCAAAAGTCAAAAAGTCAAAAATCATTTATTTCAATTAGACCACAGTAGGCACTTTTGAACGTCAAGCAAGCAAAAAAGGAAAAAAGTTTATAACAAGAGCTTTAAAATTAAGCGTGTCAGTCTGTCCGTCTGTCCTCTAGTGAAGCTATTTGCTCGTTCCAAAGTGTAGATTCCTATGGAGAAGAACGAGCAAGAAACTCCATGGTTACTCTTTTTCAATCAGTTTTACAATACATTTCTTTGTTACATCATTTACCGACTAAATGATGTGTGAGAACAATGTAACACTAATGTTCAGGCAAAAAGTACGAAAAAGAAGTGAACCTCAAGGACAACATATTTAGACAGCCTGGAGATGACCAGTCCCAATAGGCGGCGCCCGTTCACGAACATGACACGTACACCAGCACCGACCAACTCAACCATATTATAGGGAATTGGGCGATCTAGTGTCCGTGCCACCGCCAATGAGACCTCTGAGTGAGCATGACAGCTCCCAGCCGACACAAGTACCTATATTCTACAAGTCTTACTTAATTACAATAATAGTACAGGCAAAGGACATTGAAGCAGGTTCGATTTTCTCTTAATTCTTTGTGTAATTTATGAATTGTTGACCCGGATCTGGCTCTGATGTGTATATAAAATTTTATTTTTGTAAAAGGCACCCACAACACAAGAGAAAACCATAATTATTGTAAGGCAAACAAATTATAGTTATTTAAAAATAAATTATATTTACCTAACGCATAACAGTTTTCTTTGAACTCCTACTTAAATTGTTTTACGGAGTTTGTTTAAAACTAAAACTATCGTATGCTTTTTTCAGCGAAGGCAAAAGTTTGAAAGAAAAACAAGTAACGAAGTATGCAAAATTCCAGTGGGAAATTAAAAAAGACTAAACTTAGACGTGCTAGCAAGTAAAAAGGGTGAAAAAATATGCACTTTATTAAAAAATGTGCTAAAACTAGTGTCCTTTGTATTTAATAGCGTAAGTTAGTTGAGATTTTAAAAGTATAAAGGAGTGCAAAGACATTTTTATCGTTCGTATAATCAGAATAAGATTTCCTTAGCAACACTGCATTTTTACATTGAGATAAGATTGTGTAATGGTCGTAATCTTTTCTCATTGCTGTAATATTATTTAGACAACTTTTTAACATATACTAATAATGAAAACATTGTAAAAAACTTGTGTGTACGAATGTTTATGTTTGTAAACGAATCTACGGCACATTAGATTTGATTCAAATGTTAAACAAGTAATGGAACAATATGGTACACGTGTGTTATGTCGGTCAGGTGAGGGTCTTAAAAAGAGGGTAATCAACAATACACACATGTATCATACGACGTTTTTCAACACACATCCGAATAAAATAATTCTTAAATAAATAACTTTAAAAGAGGAAATGTGACGAGTTGTGAAAAATGTTTCGTAATGGCGCGAAAAATTAATCAGTATTCCTATGCGTGCGCATCGGCCATAGACAAAAAAGAGGTTTCTTTTTTGGGCTTTTCGCGGAAAGCATTTTAACGTAACTCAACCAATAATAAAAAATAAAAACTATGTACTAAATCTCTTGAAAAATCCTGGATATAGTTATCTGCATTATCAGAATCATCATTTTCTACGATTATCTTAACCACTGTTTAATTGATAACTAATTGCTTAATTTCATCATAAATTGAAAGTCAGAAAGTCATCAAAAATTTATCAATATTCTTTTTAAAATCTTGTCTACATATTGCCAAGATTTTCCCAAACTTTAGTAGTCACTTTGAAAGGCTTGCTTTCTTGCCAAGCTGTAGGCATCTACTAAATATTGTTATCTACATAGTTTTCTATTAGAAGAAGTTCACAAGTTTCAAGGCTTATCCTTTAATATGAAGTACTGTGTGTAAGGAGCTAGGCAATATCGTGCAAGTTTGTATGCAATTCTCATATTTATACCTACTAATATAAGGCGTATAATAATGTGCCGTTCTCCAATGTGGGGGTTTCCTATTGAAGTAACCTGCCTTAGTGTATAACATTTCTATACGTTATATTTAATTGAATTCTGCATAATATATGTAAATTGTGAAAGCATGGAAATTGAATAGAATATTATTGAGTACTTCATTATCACTACATGGTACAAAACTAAGTCGCTTTCTCTGTCCCTATATATGTAATTATGTACACTCAAACCTTTAAATATACGCGAATTTTGGTGCGGTTTTTTAAAAGAAGGTTTATATGTGCGTATAACGCACGTCCATTAAAAAGTGGAGAAGCCGGGGCAGGCCACTTGTATATAGTATAAAAAAAGTTGCTTCCTACTGACTGTTCCTACCTTTAGAACTACGAGACAGATCTTGACGCGGTTTTTTAATAAACGGAATGATTCAAGAGGATGGTTTAAGTGTATAATTTTATAATGTGTGTAGACGAAGTTGAGTACAGGAAACTATACAGTGTTTTTGTAATAAAATTTAGAGTAACTATTAGAAGTTGTTATATGTTTTTCAAAATTTTCTAACTATGTATGTAGATGGATGGAATTATTGAACAAAATTAATCGGTAACATTTTCCAACGACATTCGACATTCGTTTTATAAAGAAGATCTTGTTATTAAGTAGTAGGTAGGTAGTATACATATCAAAGAGTATATCTTACTCTATCTCTTTAGTATGTGTATACATATTAACCATACCTGCATCCTGCATGTGGCTGTAATAGTAATTGAAAAAGAAACTTCGAAATGGTTGAACTAATGAGCCAGAAAACAAGTGCAGGTGTAAGTACATTTTGGGATCATAGACAGAATAGCTATATTCATCAAAATATCCCTATTTTACGTAACCAACTGACAACCCTGCAATCCTTTACAAAACTAGAAGCCAACAAAAACCGATCGACCCATTTAACAGTGGTCATTCGTTATCAGCATTAGTTCAGATTAGATGTGCTTACTTGACAATAGGCAGTACAATCTTGTCAGTGGAACATTGTGAGTAGGGTCAGGATGCAATGGAGATGGATTAAGTTAAATCCTATGACGAGGAGTTGCTCTTGATAGGGATCGGAGATGAGTGAGCTGAGGTCATCGGCCTTTGTGAGGTTGTGATGTTCATACTAGCTATATTAATGTTATGTCTATCTAATGTATAGCATGATAGAGGTAGGTACCAGGAAGACATAACGTCTAAGGAGATGTTTAATTTGGATTTCTCTTTATTTCTTTAGATTTTTGTTTATTGTCCTTTATTATTGAAAATCTTGAAGAATTTTAGTATCTTCTATAATATTCTGTTTCTATGGGCACTTGTCTTTCTAGTGACGGAAAAATCTATTTCCTTAAAAAACCTCTCAAGTTGCTAACTGGGGTTTTTTGGATACATTTTATGGAGAGCGTGTGAAGGAATTGCAGGCCTAATCGTCCTTTTCGATTCGCACGAAGCTCAAACCGCTAAGGAGTGGAATTATTTTCCCGAGTCTAGGTAAAAACTTGGTGTCTTCAAGGCCGGAGAAAAGAGACTTCTTATTGGTAGGCGAGCTCCATCGTAGGCTGCATCTTCCAGGAGACATAGTAGACAATTAAATTAAAAATAACCTTACATATTTTGTCGTGTCACAATATTAGTACAAACGGCTTAACTGTTTTTATACCGCTTAAGGATTTCCATAAGGGTTTTTCACCCTTAACATGTTTTTTTGAAATAATTATATGGCTAAAAACAGTGTCAGCTAGTATTAAATAAGAAACCTAAAAAGTAAATCCTTTTAATTGATACTGAAGTACCTACTAAACCAAACAAGAAAAGCACGATGTATCAACTTGGGAAACACCGTCTCTATATTGAAGGACATTAGTTTTGTTTCGCCGGAGTGGGGTGATTGATCTATTTCAGGGTAACTCTCTTCGTCCTTCAGAACTGTGATAGTTGGTAACTTTGTAACGAACGCGTGTTTTACCAAATACAAAAAAAATCTTGAATGTTGCTGAGTGCTTTTTGTTATTACGTTCGTGAAGCGAAAGTAATTTTTTTGCTGAATGTATGAGCATGGAAGACTGGTATATTCTCCGTCGTCTTTGTTCGAATTTGTTGACTTTGCTTGATTTACATCCGGTTTCCAAAAGGCCGATCAATGTTAAAATCAATTTAATCTCTTGTCTTTAACAGGATATCTTTAAGGCGAAGGCGGAGGCGGAGGCAAAGGCGAAGGCGAAGGCGAAGGCGAAGGCGAAGGCGAAGGCGAAGGCGAAGGCGAAGGCGAAGGCGAAGGCGAAGGCGAAGGCGAAGGCGAAGGCGAAGGCGAAGGCGAAGGCGAAGGCGAAGGCGAAGGCGAAGGCGAAGGCTAGATATAGAGATAGAGATAGAGATAGAGATAGAGATAGAGATAGAGATAGAGATAGAGATAGAGATAGAGATAGAGATAGAGATAGAGATAGAGATAGAGATAGAGATAGAGATAGAGATAGAGATAGAGATAGAGATAGAGATAGAGATAGAGACAGAGACAGAGACAGAGACAGAGACAGAGACAGAGACAGAGACAGAGACAGAGACAGAGATAGAGATAGAGATAGAGATAGAGATAGAGATAGAGATAGAGATAGAGATAGAGATAGAGATAGAGATAGAGATAGAGATAGAGATAGAGATAGAGATAGAGATAGAGATAGAGATAGAGATAGAGATAGAGATAGAGATAGAGATAGAGATAGAGATAGAGATAGAGATAGAGATAGAGATAGAGATAGAGATAGAGATAGAGATAGAGATAGAGATAGAGATAGAGATAGAGATTATTGCTGTATTTGACCGAACTACTCATAGTTTAACTATTTCATTGTATCTAGTCCAAACATGGACCTGACACACCTTTATTGGGCTTTAAAAATAACATTTCCTTATTAGTGGAGTTACCCTAGAATAAGATGCCAAACCTTAAGACAGAGTCTACACAGAGTCTATATCAAAATATATAAAACTCAAAGGTGACTGATATAGTGATCTATCAACGCACAGCCCAAACCAGTGGTCGACTGGGACTGAAATTTGGCAAGCAGGTAGATGTTATGACGTAGGCATCCGCTAAGAAAGGATTTTGATAAATTTTACCCCCAAGGGCATAAAAAAAGGGATGAAAGTTTGTATGAAACTTTGTCAGTTTTATACCGATCGGGCTGAGACCTTGCATGCATAAAGCTACTAGCTACATGCATAAGCCCCGTCTGTGGTGGTCTATTGGCTCTTTGAAGCGCGCGGGGAATGCTACGTACCGTACACTCGGGTCTGGTTCTGGTCGGGCGGCAAGCTACCCTTACTCGCCGTCCGCAGACCCGCGCTTACGGTGGCTGGAGATCATCTCTACATCCCCGACGCCCGGAACGTCGCCTACTGCGGTGGCTGGGGCGCGAGGAGGATAGTTCCCTTACGCGCCTCCTCCTTTGCGAGCAACACTGCTTCGTAGAAAGAGGAGACGGCTTTACAGTTCCTCTGGCTAGGTCACCGCCGCCGATCACTTCCCCGAGGATATGGCGGTGCTCAGCCCAAGCAGGGCTGAGCACATTGCCACCGATTGCTCCACCTCTAGGTGGTCCTCACAATGACGACACTCCGGCGTTTCGTCCCGCTGGATCAGAAACAGGAACCTACCGAAGCTGCCGTGTCCGGTAAGTACCTGCGTCAGGCGGAAGGTGAGGACGCCGTGGCGTCTCTTAAGCCACTCCTCAAAGAGGGGTCTTAAAGGGGGGCCCGGCCCTCGGTTGCGATAGTCGTTGCTTCCACTCAGCCATGAGATTTCACCAGACCTCATTCCGGCACGCACTTACTTGGCGCGGCAGCGGATCCTCGCCCCGGCGACGCGCGTCTGCGCACAAACTGTAGACGAGTGCCGACGCGATCGTGCGATATCCGCGGATTATCCGGATCGCCATGATCCTCTGCGACGCGACCAGCGTACGAGCTGGCCGCCGCCTCAAGTCCGGAGGCCACACGGTGGCTTAACATAAAGCATACAACATAAGTTAATATAAAATTTATGTGGTACACTATAACGATATTACTACCTACAGGAAACCCAATAAAGATTCCCAGGCTTTAAAACGAAAAGTTCTACAAACAGTTATAATATTTCTCATTCCCCTCATACTGTTGTTTAGTTTTAATTATACAATTTCATATTTATTTTAAACCAGATTCAACATATTTTTCTTTGGAATTCATTTAGATGATAACACTTCTCATGTACTTTGTGAGATTGAAGAACAACATCGTGTATATCAACCGGTTTTCATCCAAAAAAGCTATGTGCCGAGCGAGGAAGAGAGAGAGATAATATATATTTTAAACTATGGTACGTTCTAAAACTACTACTAAAACTGAGGAATGGTTGCATTTTCTACCGATAGCGGGTGTTGTCTGATTGCTAACGATGTCACTTTAGACTTAAACTGTTTTTTAAGTCATAAGTTAGTAAGTCAGTAAGTAAATATGGGTAGAGATATTACTTGATGGTAAGCAATTAGCGCCGCCCATAGACACTTGTAATACCAAAAGTGTTACTACAAGTGCGTTGCCGGCCTCTTGTGAGTTATTACAGATTCATGGATAGGAGAATTACGGAGGGGGTAGGGAAGGAGGAAGAATTGGGCCTCCGGAAACACAACTTAAGTATTGCTTCACCTAAGAGATTGAGTCGGCTAATTCGTGCCAAAGCATGGCTCTCCAACGTAAAAAACTGAGGTACTCGTAATTGCTTTTTTGTAATAGGATACGCACGGTAGGTGCAGTGACTAAGTCACCATTTGCTGTGCAACGTACATATCGCTACCTGGTTAGATATACGTGTGTTAGTAGTTTAAATGGTTATTCCATATTTAGGAGTCTGCTGTGAATATTTACAAAATTCGTATAGTTCATATAGTTCAGGTTCATTTAAACACTAAAAGCATTTTCTTTATTAATACATTGCCTAAAACAAAAACATTTAACATTATTAATCCCTTTTATTTCTACCTTTGACCAAGATACCCTCTGGTCTTAGGAAGTGTCAACAAATTGCTATCCATCTTCTATAAAGTGGATAGCCCTTAGGCCGAAGCCCTCGGGACTCAACTACAAACAATTTGAATTGGTTTAAACCTTTATATTAATTCCCTGTTCCATTATTGAATTTGATTGTACTTGAGATAGTTTTACTTCGATTGGGTTGATTTTGTAAATATTGGAGTGGTAAAAATCTCGAGTCTGGTCGGCTGTGATGAACGGAGTCGTATGTTTTTTTTAAAGAGCTAGTTTTTTTTGAGCCCGTTGTTTAGCATATTGTTTGCGTTTCACGATTTTTTTTCTTATACTATTAGAGAGTTATAGAGAAAGATCAGATCATTCCTCGCTTCACTAGATGTTCTCGAGTGATTTTATCCAGTGTCATTGTAGATTAGCAAAGCTTTTTTGAGGGGGAAAGTCATCAATTAAGCTCTCCTCCCTAAATGTCCTGGGTGTGACCAGACGGAGCATCAGACTCTTACAGTCTATAAACCATCACGTGTCTTCTCCTGTTCAAGCCGGGGCTATGGTACATTTTTTTGCTTGCATCTGCAATCCCACCTGGAATTTATTTATTTATTCATATTGCACAATGTACATATAATGTTAAGTATAACATACAGCCAGTACAGTACATTACCCTGTTAGGGCGCAGCAATTTAACTTATAACTAGATAATAATACATGTTATATTTTTTATTACATTAGTGATCACTTCAATATCACAAACACTTTTATGCATTATTATAATAAGTAGTTCACATTAACTCACTACGTAATTAAAGAATTACCATAAGGACACTGCACCTGTAGTAGTGTGTGAATGTGTGGCTTGATTTGGTAAATAGTGTAGGTACTAGTAAAGACAGAGACCGTTCAGCAGTGGAGAAAGGGGTCATCTCTTGATTTATAATTTGTTGTCTTTCTGCGTGACGTGACCTTCTTCAGATATCAAAGTAATAGTAGAAGAGAATAGTAGAGTTACTAGGAAATTTGAGTGTGTTGCAATCTTTAATATGTTTAGAAAAAAAACGACGTACAAGCCTTTTTGACACGGGTAGTTTTAATTTCACCCTTGTTTAATATGTAACATAATTGGTTCATGTTGATTGAGAGGTGGACATTTCCGTGTTATTCGAGAGTACGAATGGCGGCCTTCTGACGGCTTGATGATGATGATCAAAATTATTTATTATTATTTATACATTTTTCAAGTTTGAATATAACAAAAATAAAGAAATGTTAGAAAGATTAATGCTCCATAATTTACTGAAAAGTCTAAAAAATCGCAAAATTAAATACCTTTCTCATTTTCACAAAATTTTAATGCATTGCTTTTTAACACAAGTAATTAACCTAATAATTATCATTTAAGGAGTAAGGAGAATCTGTGTCAATGCTATTTGTATGTAAATTATGAGAAAGAGTTAATTGTGCCAACAAATTATACTAACAAATACAGGACCATAATCACGAAGCGCCATACTCTAAACTTTTAATGGACGACATTTTGTTAGTGGAGAGACCGTTTTAATAAATCATTTTCCATTTTGTTTATCATTCTAAAATTAAACTATTTTCAAAATGGCGTTCGATGAATAGAATGAAGGAACGATTCTACACATTTTGTTGCTTGATCTGTAAGAAAGATAAAATAATGGGTGAATGGGATCGTGTTGAATGAAGAATGGTTTGATAGAAAAAAGAGTGAATGACGTTTGTGTGACGGTAGTCGAAATAAGAAATGAAATAATGTTGTAAAAAGCCGTCAGCCTTTTTATGTTTAAAGTGAAAGAATGATTTTCCAATTTTCGGATTTCTCACTAATTGACGGAATTTGGAATAACGTCTGCTGTCACTTGTCAGACTGCGTTATATGTATGACGTGCACTTTTGTTTCCCTTTTGAAGAAAAAAAATATGTCATGTTATATTTTACCTGAATTACATTACGACTTTAAATATTTTAATATGAATTTCTTTATTTTGATATGACATTTCTACTTATAAAGTACCTGTAGTCATAAATTTCCTCCCACTTACATAATAGGATCTAATCGTGCTTGATTTATTCTGTTCATAAATCGCTCAGTTTGCTATTACGTGCAAGTAGGTACATTGCAGCACTGGTAGCGGAGCTGTATGCCAATCAATTAGTACATTAAACCAATGAACGGCACACAACGAGCTAGCTTTGTATTAACCTATTCTAAATAAATAAGTGTATTTTAGAGCAGAAAATACGCTTCAGTATTTTATAATTACCTATTTAAAAAAAATAACTAAACAATTTGTTTTGAAATAACATATAAAAAACGCACACAATACCTTCATTGTAAAATTGTGTATACAATTCAACAGCTTATTAAGCGTTCTGTTCTATTTTTAAAATTTGAAGTAGGTACATAGTTTACTTTTGAGGCCGTATAGTGAGATGAATTCACAATAATTAGTGTTTAGTTTTTGTTCACTAAGAAAATTAATACCAAAGAGCCAGCTTCAAAAATTTCATACTGTACAGGAATAAAAATAAAAACACTATGTAATCAAGTCTAGTCTAGGTATACATATGTTTCTGTCCTCATTTCGAACGCAGTTCATTTACTCGTCAGCTAATTAAAGGGTTGCCATACTATGAAGACGCGTTCGTTAGTAAATTACATTGGCAACTCCATTCTGAAGCGTGTAATTTTGGTTGGTAGATTTCTATAATACCATGATATAATGAATTGGAGAATGTGAAAAGTAATTGCCAGGAAACATTATTGATAT